AATGGGCTTGTGGATATTAATGATACATCGGTTACAGCTAATTGAATTGTTCGGGTAATTATGTCAGAATTGATTTCCGTTGTTCTCCAGGGATTAGAAGAATTGCGCAGTTATTCATGTTTCAATGTGAGGCCAAATGCAGGCTAGTGTATGATATTTATCTCCCCATACCTCTTAAATATAGTTGTAGTACACAATCAAAGGGTTATTTTAATGTTAAAATGTTAATGTTCAAAGCCGCTTATCCTTCATAAAGGGTTGCGGGGGTTAGAGACGGGTTACACCTTGGGTTGGTCGCCAGTCAATCGCAGGGCTGACAGAGAGACAAACAACCATTCACACTCCCATCTACACACCTGACCCAGGCAACGTAGAGTCACCGATCAACCGAATCCAACATTATAAAGAATGATATCATCAATCGCAATTAATCATTTCATAATTTCCTTTGAATGTTAACTATAGTTATTATGAACTGAAATTAAAATCTATTCCTAAACATAACACACACGCCTTTGCTTATTTTAGTGGCGACAGTAATTATATTTATCATTTGTGTGTATATATATATTTATATATGGTTCATGCTACTGTGAGTTGAAAATGGATTTGATATCACCCACAAGAGTGCTCCTGCCTTCCAGACGACGCATTGATGCTGCAATGCTTATTACTGCACGAGGGAGGCAAGAGGCTCTTCTGACCCTCGAACACGGCGCTGAAAAATAGTTGCTTGCCTGAAGAGCGCCTGTTTCCGTGTTTCCCTGTGAGCTGAAACTTGTTGAAATTCTAATCTTATTACATTGTGTGAATGATAATTCAATGGCACAACCTGCTTGTGTTTTGAATATCTTTGGTGAGGGAATGAAACATAAGTTGAGGGCAAAACGGAAAACTGCGGCTCTTTTATCTCCTCAATCCGTGGATGTCGGTCACATTCAACATTTACCGCAGGCCCACAGCATGTTTGTACCAGCTGCTCCTTTGACCAACATTCCTCGGGATTAGTTTAAATTCCCTCTAGGTCAAAGGTTAATGTCACTGTTAAACTAGTGCTTCAAAAATTATACTCAAAACAACCTTGAGGTGCCCTTGAACGAGCCTGTTTTCTAAGTTGCAATACTGTATATGTTCTGGTTTGGTTTAAATACTCAACTAATTAGTAGTGTGGAGTGTGAGGATGACTAAGGACGAAGGTAATCATGTGACAAACGCTAACGCTACAGTAGTAAACACACACACACACACAGTGAATAAAGACCCTTCTAAACAAGACCACATTAATGACTGAGGTGCAGTGTTTCCACCTCAACAGCAGATGCATCTTTTTTTTATGGTTTAGGTCATTTAACTCTGGGTAAAAGATTGGCTGACTGACACAGAGAGGGAAGTGCAAATAGCAACGTAGGTGTACCCCTGATGGGAGGGAGTTGGGTCTCTACCATCCACCCGGCGACTGCCGTTCAGACAGCACGCTGGAGCAGAAAGCAAATATAAAGAGCTCCTGCTCTCGTCCTGCCGGCTCCACTCCACTTTACTCTGCGGACGCCAGCTGCTACGAGAGAGACGCCTCCTGGCATCTTCCTGCTGTTCCCCCGACAATGCCGAGGAGATTTCCTCAGCACCGCAGCGAGTGTACCAGCTGATTCCCCCTCACACAAGGCGAGGCAGAGAACGCTGCGTGCATGTTACAACAGAGCATAGTAAGTACCAAGCAGTGGGCAAAGCTCGGGCCGCTTTCTCTCTTCACAGCTGGCATCTGTTTTTCTTTCTCTGGAGGAGTAGTGTAAATAGATGTTTTAAGAGGCCGTTATGGTCCCTGTCCTTGATATGTGTCGTGGTGCAGCTTGGAGCTTTGGTTTATTTCTTTTGGTGTGAGGAAAAGCGAGAGGGGAGTGTTCACCCCACTTTGACCCCTGCTGCCGACACGCAAGCCCTGTGTTGAACGTGGAGCGAGAGCCAGAGAGAATGTTTTTATGATTTGAGCGGCAGTACTACCGTTTGTACACATGTCCTGGCTAACTCTTTGGCTTAAACCAAATCTGAGTATGGCAGCTACATCGAACTCACCTGAGTTTATTGAAAGTCCCTAATTAGCGGCTGCTCTGTGAGGCTGCATGTCGGTCGCAAAGCGTATTTCGGACTTATTTATGTTCGTTTTCATCTAACACCCACTCAGCAAGAGCTGTTTACTTTGTAGTAACACAACAGTAACTACTGTACAAGTACCCACTGCTACGTTGAGAAAAAGAACCTTGGGCCTCTCTGCAAGGAGGAATACCAGTCATTCTTTCTCGTCTTTATCTGGCTCGATGGGAGCAGAAACTCTGCTTGACCTCATGGTTCGTGTTTTGGGGCCCTGTAAGATTCTAGATATGCGACTCAGAGCCTGTTCAGAAAATGAATGTTTCCCAGAGTCTTAAATGGAACTTTTCACATAAAACACAAAATAATTATGCTGTAATTGTATGTGTGGCCAGAGGAGGTTTTAAAAAAATAATCAAAGAAGACGGGTAATTTAGTTTATATATGATATATTAAGAGCCTCTGCGCAGAATCATATGTGTGACATTAGATTTAACAACAAAGCTGTTTCCCCAGTACTTAATCTGGATGGCTGCTGCAGCAGGAGGTCATCTGCTCCTGTGGGACAATCATCACATGCGTTGATGGAAACCAGCTTCCTGCAAACAAACAGAGCCACTGTGCTGCAGCGTTTGAACACCAACTGGGGATGCTGCGAATTCTGTGACAAATAGTCCGGAAGTAATGTGGCTAAAACAAAAGCCCCAAAGAATGCAGGTTCCTAATTAACGGGGGATTCTGGCGCAGGGCTCCACAGTGTGTGCGACCAGTGCGGCCAAGCAAATTCAAGCAAGTTGTTACCGGAAACGAGCCTCGCCAAGCGCCAGTGTGTGTTTGTGCGTGTGTTTGAGAAGGGTTCCTTCACGAAACTATGGTTGTTTATATTTGATCTTATGTTGGTTGTGTGTGCAGAATCCTTCAGCCTCATTCCTCTTCCACCCTCTGAACTTTTCTGAAATGTCAAATCATAAATCTTTCCACCCAGCTCAGTTCGCCGCCCCCCCTACTTCACCTCCGCTCCTCTCTACTGCATGGAGATGCAGCGAGGCACCCCTTGCTGTTCGGATCACCCAGCACCTTCATAGCAGTGAATGTCAGTAGAAGTACTGCTAGATTATTTCATAATAAAACACATGTATATACTTCTGGGCTTTAAGCAAATGTGATGAACTTGGGTATGGCAATAGTATGTCTCCTGATACGTTTTGATTAAAAAATATATAATTTATTTGTGGCAGACTGATGTATTTGTTGATTTTGCGTTGTATATAAACCTCGGTCTGCTAGATAATCTATCGATCTTTAGCCATAGAGAATGAATGCTGTCAAGACCTGATGCAATTAATCGAAGGTCTCGTGCGTTGCTGCAGGTGTGCTTGAGAACTGTCGAAGGAGATCATTGCCTTTCACAATCAAGGAAAATAATGTTGATAGATAATATACAATATAATAATAAGTTCAAAGCTGAAGAAACCGTTTCCACACTACCTGGACGTGGCGGAAAGAGGAAGCAATCAATCGCTGCCACCAGATTTCTGATGAGCCAGGAGCCCAAAAACCATTGAGTGACTGCAAACGAGCTACAGCAAGACAAGACCTTCTCCACTACTGACCCACTGGCACAACAAAGGTTGCCGTAAATTTCATCAAAAGCATAAAAATGATCCATAGAAGTTTGGCGATTGGGGAAAGAATGCAGTGAAGTACTACAGTGAAGCATGGCGGTGGCTTGGTGATGCTCCTTCACTGGAAACCTGCGGCGTGTGAACGGCACGATGGATTATTGTCAAGTTTCAGGAAATCCTGCGAGAGAAAAAGTCTTGTCATCTGTGATGAAGTTAAGCTGGGACCTTCCAACAAGACAATGATCACAAGCTTCGTCCTGGCGTGTCCGTCACATTGGCCTGACTTGAACCCGTAGAGAATCTCTAGTGGGATTTGAAGGATGCGGTTGCAGCACACAAACCTCAGGATATTAGAGCTGGAGGCCCATGAGGAATGGGCTGAGATTCCTCAGCTATCAGACCGTGGTGTTTGGCTATCCATGGCGTTTGCATGGGGTCAGCTGCCTCACACCTTTGTAAATAGTGTGAGGGACTTAATGGAACCAAGCACAATGAATCATTGGAGCTTAACCTGCCATGATGGTTAGGTGATGTGGTTTTGCATCAGATAAATATCTTTTAATAAATACAAAAAACTCAATTTCACATCCCAATGTCTATGCAGACTCGCTAATCTTGCATGCATCAGTGATTAGATTCTCTTTCTGCATCAAGAATAAGAATCATCCAAATAAATAATGAGAAAGGAGTGGATTCATTTAACTATGCTTCAATGTATCAGACTGCATGTGTGAATACTTAATATTATCAACGATTGTGCTTCATTTACTCTCAAATCCACGAATTGAATAGTCCAAACCTTGTCCTGGGCTAGTCACAAATAAATATTCAATAGACAACAACAAAGAGAAAAGGCATTATATTTCAATCCTCTCAAGAACAGCCCCACTGACGACTTATCGGTTTCTTATTCTATACTGTGACAGTGGCATACATCCAGTTAAAGCAATGAATGGCCCCATCTAACTGAAATCAATAACGCGTGGTGGGCTGACTACGGGAGAGTGCTGATACTATACTCTGTGTGAAAGAATCTGTGGTTCCCGAGCCGGCGGCTGTGCTGGCAAAGGTTTTTTTTAATTTTTATTTTTTACAGTCAACTGTGACCGTCATTAAAAGCTGAACGTGAAGGTGGTTTTATTGTAACCTCAACCAGCAGCCAGATAAACCCTCCAAACACAGGACGCCATCAGACCGGATTGTTGATACCGACTTGTTTCTAATTTATTTATTTATTTTCCTTTTTTTCCTTGGTGGCGTTGTTTTCTCTCCATCTTCATATCTCTGCAGCCACAGCCTGAGGGCTACATCATTTCGACACCCTGTGACCGGACAAATATCCCCAGAAAATACGGAATACACACTACAAGACAGGTGAGTTGTTGTCGTTTTTCTTCCTGAGATCGATTTCTACACTGTACGCTTGAATTGCAGTCAAGTTAGTTCAAGGTCAAGTCGTGGAAGTCCAGAAATAGAGTGGGAATAGCCTGCCCCCCCTCCCTGTTGAGCCAGTGTGTGTTTGTGTGTGTGTGGTGGGGAGGGGAGGGGCCTGTGGGGGGGGGTCTGTTGTCTAGCGAATACTGTTTCAGCAAAGTGTTCATCAGGAAAATGAGCTGAGAGTCAGAACACCAAGGGATGCACATAATGATAATGTCGCTCATAACGACTGCACCCACTCATGAGTGGCTTTAGATCCCAGAGACTCTTAAATATTATTCTTATGGTTACCGTGGCAGTTATGATGGCGTGGCTGACACCCAGATATCTCTCTCTCTCTCTATATATATATATATATATATATATATATATATATATATATATATATATATATAGATTTTTAGCTTATATTTCTTAATTGTATTCCAACATTATACTTTGTATGGCAGTTGGATTGATTGTCTTTGTTTTATGTCATTGCATGACAGGTTTTGAGCACAGGATTGCTGGGCAGTGTGACCAAAATTAACAGATTTTATTTTTAATTTTGGTTACTAGGTGTTTGTTATTATCAATATAGACAGCATTATTATATATGAACATACGATTTCATAAGATATGAATCCATTAAAATATGATACATGATCATATTGAAGCCCAGCCCTAATTATATTCCAGCAGGTGTCTGATGGTATTCAAGCTAGCTGGTGTAAGATGATCGTGCATCGGGCACATTCCTCTTAAGCGTTTGACCTCCACATTCCCACCGATTAAAAAGATAACTCATTTTCCATCATCCACTGTTGTACATTTGCAGAATCCCTCCGATTATCCCTGATTTAGCCATGGATTAATGTACCTTCAAGAGTTTTAAAGCTGCATTTGCTTTAGTAGCATATTTTTAATGGAGACAGAATGATTATTTTTATTTAAACTGTAATATCTCCTTAAGATATGGTAAAAACAGTTTCAGTTATACGGCCCTGAAGGCCATGAAACAGGCGGGACGGGACGGTGCAAGATGTAAGATACTTTTGTGGTCTTCAGAGAAAACTATTTCTCACAATGACAATTAAGGAATGATGCCATATCAGCACATGTGAACATTGGAAGTATTCTGTCCAGAGTCGTTTCTGTTTTATTCTGTTTTACCTTTAAGTAATATTACCTGTTTTATTATGTCGCACTTTGGGATTTGCTTAAATATAAAGTGCATTACAAATTAAATGTTTTATTATTATCATTATTAATATTATATTATTTAGATTATGGATTGTTCTAGTTTTAGCTCAGTGTTCAACTAAGACTAAGTGAGAGAAGTGAAAGGGCAGGTTTAGTTTACAATCAATTCAGTAACTTATGTAAAATTTATTTAGCTATTTCAATCTCTTAAAAAAAAGTGAAAGCCAGGTCTCACTCTTGGTATTGAATGTGTGTGCACATTTATTACCTCACCGAGGAAGCAGAGGTGTTCACTGTCATGGTGAAGTTAGGGGCTTTATCCTGCAAATGAAAGTTTGGTTTCTCCCATGAATCACTGGAATCACTTCCAAGCGAGCAGAGCCGCGGCGTGTTCCCCGGAGAGCCGTATCGGATCGAGGACGGCGCAGCCAGCCAGCCTGGAGGCTTTGACTTTGTCATAGATTATCCCACTATGATCAATTCGTCAACTCGCCACACGTCCACCCGCTGCCTTAAAGGATTACACACACACAAAAAAAATGCCGTCGTTTCCATCATACAGTGGCAAAGAGAGGCAGAGAGAAGATGGAGTTTAGCGTCTTTCTACACTCTCTGCAATGTGAAATATCGCTCCTCTCCACCACGTGCCACGACAAATCTCCCGGGGAACTGTTCCGATGGCAGAGGTGGTAAACAGTATGAATACTTCACATAAAACAGCAGAGTAGCTCTTGATCCAACAGAAACATCCTGTAAAATGCTGGCTGCATTCCAGGCTGCACGTGCACATACTGTAAGTTTGTTCCACTGTGATCTTCTTTTCTCACTTCTTTTTTTTTAAAGAAGTGTAGTGCAGCAACACAAAGGAGGAATTTGCTTCTAACCCCTTAATGCAAGGACAGGTCACACTTTGTTTCCTATTGTAAATTCACTGCTGCAGTCGGGAAAAGGCTCAGCCGCAGTTTAGGGAGAGTTTCAAAAATGTGGCAGCAGTCTTCCTAATGTATAAATTCTTAATGAATTATATTTGTATTTGTAACCATTGGTGACTGACCAGGTGGTTCCAGCTGTTCTCCCTCCTTGTGTTTTCACTTTGTGAGGTTACTAAGAATAGCATCAATTGAACTGGTCTTAATCCCGGAAGGATTCCAGGGGAATGACAATAATGCGTTTTAATAGAGGTCTGCTGGATAATCTCCTGTAAGGTCATGCTTTATCAGAACATACTGAAATTCATTTTTTCAGGACCTTGTTTCATCAAATCCTTGTCCGTAGTGTTCATGTTGGTTGGTTGACTGTCAAAAGACCTTGTTTAAATCTTTGTAATAATGCGGTTTCAATCTGAATAGGCTGTTATTTTTCTTTCGTGTTAATATTTCTGGGTCGTTTCCAAATAAATTATATACAGTATATGTGCTTTAACACAAGGCTTTATTTGGTTTAGTCTTGTTATCTGGGCACGTGTACATTGTTTGGCACAAAAAGCTTTCACTGTTTTCCACCTCAGAGCCATTGGCTGTTTCAGGTCGCGTGGAGGTGTCAGGAAATAGTCACATCCTTCAAATGTGACGGCTCAGCACAGCGCTTGTTTTCCCTGCGTGTCGGTACTTTCGGCAGTGGAATTAAGAAGGAACTTTCCTTTTTCAATGCTCGGCATCCCGTCTGTATTGCTCATCTCCTTCAACACTGCCTTTTCAACTGCAGGATAGAAGCTCGCATGTCCAAGTCAGCGGCCAATCAGAGATCCCCGAGCATGGTCACAGAGTCCTCTAAGGCTGTGACCTCAGCTGCAGCAGATGCCCACTCAGGGACAAAGGTACGTTACAGGGTTCGTCTTCTCTGAGGGCCCATGTTCAGTATTTTCTACTTATGCTTTGATCGTTGTTATAAAATTTTAAAAACACAACAGTTTCAGTAGCTATTCCAATGGATAAAACATTTTGTGATAGTAAAATGCTATAGCAGCTCTCTTGATACACTGTCTCAATAACTCAAGAAGACATAACCTCATAACCTCATTTTGAAGACAGGGTCAATCATTTAGTCATTTTTCAAGCATGATAAAACTTGAATACATATCCTGTCTTACTGGACAAGGCTGCTTTGTTCAGTATACTTCTGTTGACGGACTGCCGTTGTTTCCAAAGCGATCGTGGACATTTTCACTGCAAATACGTTTCTACTCTGAACATGAGACCCACCACAGAAGTACAGGATGGAGTAGAATCGCAGAAATCATGAGCAACCATTTTGATGACTGATTAGTTCTTGACATTCTTTTTTAAGTATATAACATTTGCTTATTTGACTCCCTTAAATTTTCACCTTGCTGCTTTTTCTTTGACTAAATTTCAATTTTATTCTTTGCAGACTGTTGATTAGACAATACAATCAATACTAAAACTGTTATCTTGGGCTCTTGGAGCAAATTTCTCATATTCTATTGACTCATTGAGAAAAGGACCAGCAGATAACTTAATGGATATTGCTTTTTCTTTGAGGTGATTGTTCTATGTGACTGAATCATCTTATCTTTTGGTCCTTCTGGTGTTTTCCATTGTGTTTCATTAGAACAGCACACATTAATGACCCTGTAGGAGGAATCGGGTTTGCCTATTTGTCCCCTCAACATTTGAGTCTTCTTGTAGCCAGCTGGTCGACACGACACACCTGGTAGTTCTCTAGAAAAAGTACCCGCTTAAAAGTACTTTACATAGAATACTCAGTCTGAAATCTTGTCTAATAAAATGCCTGCTTACAAATGGTTGAACCCATCCACAGGAATAGCGAGTCGGTATTTCCTCTTTTGTTAGAAAGGAAAGTCATTTTTCCATTTTAGTAACATCTGCCATTGTGTTCTCATGGTATACACCAGTATATCCCAGACCTTTTTTTAATGTTTATGCCAAAACAAATTTATGACCCATTTTCCTCCCTCCTCCATCAACAATATTAGGAAACTTTACAATTTTGGTCACACCCTCCCCCCATATTGGATCCACATCCTCCCCATGTCCCGTCCCCCCTTAAGGTTCTTCAACACATTGTAAAGTCTTTCGGTCTTTTTTTACTCTCTGCAGGGATGCAGAGGTGCAGGGAAAGTGCACAGTTTTGGCAAGAGGGATCATGCTATTAAAAGGAACCTCAATATCCCAGTGGTGGTGAGAGGCTGGCTCTATAAACAGGTGAGCTGGAGTTCCTTTGCTCTTATACTCTGAAAGAAAAACCCCACTTGTCACATCAGATTTTGTGAGAAATCTGATATTCCATGACCCGTAGAGCCTTTTAATATGGACCGGAGTCTTCAAACAATAGCTCCCGACCAATCCCAGAGTGAGAGACCTACAGTAGTTACATGTAGAGGCTGCAGCTTTGTGCCATATGCTTCAAGTTAAGAATGAACTTTAATCAAATAGAGTTTCTATTGGTATGCATAAAGTCCTCTTCACTTGCGCTGTAATCCCAAACTACAACTTTGAATTCAATCTAGTTCAAGCAGTGTTGCTGCAAGAAGGATTTTAAATACTCTGTGTTGTGTTTCCCCATTCACCTCCAGGACAGCTCCGGAATGCGACTGTGGAAAAGGAAGTGGTTTGTTTTGTCAGACTACTGCTTGTTTTACTACAAAGGTGAGTCTATGAAAAGGGCACTCGGTCAGGGTTTGAAGGACAAAAACCTAAATGGTCCTGCAGTCTCATCTGAGGGAAGATGTATTTCTCCGTTAACCACAGCCTATAATTAGATGCACAACTCACCTTGCTCTCTCTTACTCTGCGCGGCTCTCTCTTCCTCCCACTTCTCCTTCGTTAGTAACTTGTTTTATTATGGGATGTGATCTGTGCTTGTGTCTCTGGAGCATCTACCTCTGCTCACTTAATCATACTGAATAATAGATAAGCCACATGCCACCTCCCGCCACATGCAGCCACATGGCCTCGACCAGACAAGAGTCACCAATTAATTATGCCTCTCTAATTTTCCTCCTGTTCATAAATCTGCAGTCATTTGTAAACATGGTGCAAGGCATAGGCAGGATTAGAGATTGCTGTTTTGGACATGTTAATATTCTGTGTCTTGTTATTCTTGCTTCACAGACAGCCGAGAGGAGACGGTGCTCGGTAGCATCCCTCTGCCCAGTTATGTCATTGCACCAGTTGAGCCCGATGACCACATAAACCGCAAATACGCTTTCAAGGTAACACAGTTTCACCTGGTTGTATAGCAGTAAGAACACAGGTTGAATAGGTCGTATAGCAAAACTAATTTGCAAAGTAAAGGAGAAACAAAATGGCCAGCCCACATTTTGTAATGGTGCCATTAATGGGCATCAAAACTTTTCTCTGTATGCTGCAAAATCTTTTTCTTATTTCTGCCTCTGAATTCCTCCAGAGGACAGGGAAGGGATTTATTTGTGTTACAACGATAGTGTCCAGATTTCCCAGCTCCGCCTTTGTGGAAACACAGAGCTTGCTGCAAATAGTGTTTGATGCACCACTGCAGTTTCTGGACATTTTGCAAAACCTTTTGTGCAAAACCTAGTGCTTTTACTTTGGCTTTAGTTCTTGAACTGTGTGCATATCTATGTGAGCATGAATCTGTGTGCATGTGTGGCACGCATCTCCTCGGTTTCAAATATCATAGTACGCACAATGGAAATTGTATGATAATTGTGCTGCTGGAATGATTAATTATGCATGAGCCTATTCATCGTCTCCTCCCACCACTTGATGGGGAGTATATTGAAGGTTAGGTGAAATGAGCCTTGGCTCTGCTGCGCCACTCTGTATTTAAGCGATCTCTATTTCCTCCAGCTCTCTCTGAGCCATCATGCATTAAAGAGCAGGAGATTTCCTTACTTGTATCTGAAGGGCTTTAGAAAGGCTCCGTTACTGCAAGGTGAGCATGACAGCACCTCAGTAGATGTCTGGTGGTGTTTGAAATAATGACAGATAGGGACATAAATCATTCTGAAATTAATTTGACTATCAGCTGAATGTAAGGAAAGCAGGTTGTTTAAGTCAGTACAGTACTTCTTTGGTGTATTTTTACCGTTGTTGAATCTTCTCTGAAGCAATGAAGCCGTGATGCCACTATGATGTATTTGACAATATAAAACGCTTTCGATGTTGCCACTGTTACTCATTTGTGTGTCTTTGATGACTGCCATTCAACTACAGCCAGAGCCATTTCTACTCGTTCTTATTGAGCCAGCAACTTATTTTTACTCATCTGACTGTGTTTCTCTCATTCCCTGTTGGTCAATTGCCTCCCATTGTGACTCGGGTTGTGTGCGCGGGCGGAGTGAGTACTGTTCTCTGCGGGAGGTCGTCCTCAATCACACTGGCTTCCTGTCTTGCATGAATAGGTATTTGATTTCACTTTAGCATCATCAGTGGACCGCCGTCCTCAGCTCATTTTGCTTCATATCAAACCAGCAGCTGCAACATCTCTTTGTGTACACAGACACGACTGCAGCCATCTATGGACAATGCCAGAGCACGTACGGGTGCCTCATTAGTGTTTTAAACAACTTTGCTGTGAATATTTAGGGGAATGAAACGGAAAAACTGAGTTTTTTAATATTTTGTATTTGTGTAGTGAGACATTTCATATTGTTTTACACTTTACTTCACCTAATTGGATTTGAAATGAAACCGAGTATTGGAGATTAAGTGCAGGATTGACGACTCTTTTTATAGTCTTCTATTTCTGTATATTCCCAGTGACTTTTGTATTTGTCTTGTCGAGATGCATATCATTTATCACATCGTCATTGTCATTTTTAGTGTTGTGATGTCAGCCTTTCAGCCTTTCAGTCATTTCCCCGCAATCCTCTCTGATTTCTTTGCCAATCTACTGATGTTTGTTTCCATCAGCACTTTTCATCCTCTTGTAAAAACATTAATCTATACAATACACAGTACGAGACAAAGGTTTGGACACATTTTCTCATTCAATTCAATGAGAAGTTGTGTCCAAACTTTTGACTGGTACTGTGTGTGTGTGTGTGTGTGTATATATACATAATAAATAATTGATTTTTTGCATTGATACAATGTAAAATGTTAACTTTTTCTTCTACATCTGTTTTGAAGCAGGTCCCTTGATGTTTTTCTTTGCGTGTTTGGCTTCTCAAATATTGCCTTAAATGTGAAGAGTTTTTAAAATAATGCATGCATTTACTTTACAGTATTCAGAATACTGGCTGGTCGGCTTGTTTCTCATTTGGTTCTCTTAATAACCAAAAGTTATATACAGTTTGTTCTTTTAGAAGTTTAAAACTGACAGGAAGGTGCAAGGTTGTAAACGCAACACACAAACAGTGACAATCAACACAGTCCCACTAATCACAGAGCATTCATTTGAAAGGTATTTTGTATGCAGTTGTGATACCAGTTGGGACGCGTTGGGAACCTTTTTCCTAACAGGGGCTGACCTTCATTCACCGCCTGTATGAATGATAAATCAGGATTGTATCTTTATGATTACCAGGACCCTTTTTCTGTATTCTTGCAGATATTATCGCTTGATTAGTTGGAGGTACGAAATATAATAAAAGACCACTAACTACTCCTTTGCACTCATTTACTCCATATTGAGTGGATTAGTACAACTTATTTATAAAATGAAAAGTTGATCAGTAAAATTTTTAAACTAAGAACATTTTCATTTAGAGTTTACACAATAAAAGACAATGACTAAATAGCTTTAAGACCAAAGTGCTGAAGGATCCTTTTTTAGTTATCTGCATCATAGTTGGGTTTGGTGTAGTTTATCCGAAAGGCTTTGATGGTACAGTATGACAATAATTCTTCAAGATTTACACCAACGCGTAGAAATAATAAAGGAAGGTTTATGGTTATGATGTGTGCTGATGCCTTTCCTGACAAAAGAAATGGCCACGACTGCCTTTCAACTGCTGCCGCACACGCCGTTTGCTGCAGGTGATGGCTCATTTCTGTCAGAGATTGTTGCTTATGCTTTCTTTTTAAACAGTTGCACAATTTCACCCGAGTTGTGCTTCTTTTTTTTTATTTTCTTCTTCAGAAACAGCACAATGTTTCTGCTGCAGCACTGTGAGCCCTCCCCCTTTTTTCAGTCAAATATTGCAGTAAACTTTGTCGTCACCGAGGTGACAGCTGAACTAATCTCAGTAAACAAGAAAGCAAAGCTTTTCTCTCATCAGCCTCACCGGCAGCTTTCACTTACTGGCTCCAGCAAGAAGTTCTCATATGCATCCTCTCTCTCTCCCTCTCCGATAGGCGAGCCATACAGGGATGCGCTCCTACATTTACAATAAGAACTCTGTGATTGGCTCTCAGGCAGAACACTGCGGGATGCGGACATATTTCTTTAGTGCGGACACACAGGAGGACATGAATGGCTGGATCCGGGCCATGAACCAGGCTGCGCTGATGCAGCAGAGTCACACTATAAAGAGGTTGGTCTCGCTCCACAGAGTAGGATTCATTACCCACATCGACTGGGCTTCTACCAGTACAAACAGCTCTCCTTCCCTTAAATACAGCACAGGCTCCGTGAACTATGTATGTATTTAGTGATATCATAAAGGAAATCTGGATGTCACCTTTTTGCTGTCACATTATGTCTTGAGGTTTTCCTGCATATACGCCGGTGTCTTAATGTCTCTGTCATAGCTGCAATTAGTATTTTAGCTGGCTTTCCATGTACGCTTTTTGAAAAGTATGAGTTGCCTTCCGCAGTAGCTGCAGCGTCTACTCTGGGGAACTAAGATGTCTGCAGTTGTTGAGTGTGTGTGTGTGTGTGTGTGTGTGTGTGTATACTGCATCTGTGGTGGTATAGCTGAGGCTTATTTCAGCCCATTTTTACAGCAGTACTCACAGTGCATGTATAAAGCTGAGCTTTTTTCCTGTGATGTTGAAGATATTGTTTCTAAGTGGCAGAAATAGTCTGCACACAGATACTCTCACTACTGAATCTGAGGTAAAGGCATTACAATCTGTATTTAAACATCTTGGATTAGTTTGATGCACTGCACGCTTTGAATGGTCTGCGCTATAACGTCATCTAGAGGCCAATGTAAGTCAGCACTCCTTTTTATTTAGAAAGCGCTCAACCTTCATACACAATAGTCTTATTTTGTTACCTTGGAACAAAACAGTCATCATATTAAATGATTATTCTGCTTAATGTCATTTAAATGTCTAGTTTCATGACGGGTGCCACACTTTATCAGAATATATAGAGTAGGAATTAGACGATGGTTACGTAGCTGAAGGAGTGTAGGTGTTTGTAATAGTTGAAAGATTTAAATTTATTTAGTGCTTCACTTCAAACTCTTTGTAATGCAAGGTGCGGCATATACAGCCATTTTGTTCACTTGTTTACAGTCATGACTAACAAACCACTGGTTCATCACCCCCACGTCTAACCCTTTTTCAGGGCGGCGGAGAATCCAAAGGAGGCTGCGCAGCAGACTCTCCCACAGACCAACCATGTCCACGTCAACCAGAACGCATGTCAATCAGAAAGCCTTAGCAGGGCGGAAAAACCTCCGTATAATGGTATCCAACTGGCCCATAGGGAGGAGGTGAGGTATGGATTAGAGATCGAAGGGAAACCCAACCACTCAGCAGCAGAGAGACTCTCTCCAGACTGTGTTGATGATGCCACCCACAAGAAAGGCCAGCCAACGGTCATCGAAGTGGCGCTGCCACCAGAACAGAATGGAAATCCTGTCCGTCAGAGGGGCTTCGTTTCACACGTGGACCCTGAAAAACGCGTGCAGAGGAAGAATACGCTGGCAAAGGTGGAGAAGTGGGTCAAAGTTCAAAAAGGGGACCCACCAAAGAGGTCAGTTAGAATCTTTAAAAGCAGTGTGAACTGTGATGAAAAAAAGTAAATGGCGCCCTTTAGTGGCTGGTATGAGTACTACATTTACATTTTCTTGAATTTAAATTGAATAAGCATTTTAGTTGTGGGCTCATAATGATTTTTTGTTATATGAAAGTAAACGACATACATGTGTTTTTCCTCTCAGTGCTCCCTGTGCCGAGTACGACCTCCCTCGGCGGACTCCTCCATTAAAGCCCAAAGCCTGTACAGAGGCAGATGCCGCCTATCAGTCGTTGCCAAAGTCTCCCCGTCTCCCGTCTGGCTGCGCATCTCCTCCAGCATCATGCAAATTGCCTAGTGACTACAAGTACGCCCACGACCGGCTCAGCCACTTCCGCATGTCCACCGACGAGCGCATGGCCACCAAGGAGGGGATGGTGTGGCAGCTGTACGAGTGGCAGCAGCGGCAGCAGTTCCGTCATGGCAGCCCCACCGCGCCTATCTACACCGGCCCCAACTTCACGGACTCCTCATCTTTCAGGGTGACTGTGGAGATGCCCCGATCCATCTCCGTCCCCCCGTCCCCGTGTGAAGTTCCGCCGTCGGTCCCCGCCTCCTTCAAGCCCTTGTCCCCCTCGCCGGCCGCACACTCCTTCAGACAGACGCACCATCCGGCCCCTGGATGACGTGGCCCATGAGGACAGCACAAGATCCAGCTCTCCCGGACATATTTGTGCCCATCTTTCTCAGGTAGGACACCTGCGTAGAGACGAGAGGCATCTCTGGTATTTATACATCTCTGGTGGCCTTATTTAACAGTTTTAATCTTTATCAACCCAAAAAATCCCACGAACAAGCATTGCCCATGTAGCCACAAACTAATATAACCTCTCCATGCCGTAGACCACCGGCCGAATAGCCCCATCATCCAAAACACCGACTGACATATTTATGATCAGCAACGTCAGTGTCTTTAATGCTGCTCCGTAACATCTTTCTCACAAAAAACGACTCTCAAGATCCAAAATGTCATTTTTTCCCTTTCTGGACGTTGGCCAAGTGGGTGAAGGTGGACAAGATTAACTCTGGAAGTCTGAAGGCTTTGGATATTAATGACTTGTCGCAGTCAACGGAGAGTTAAACAGCAGCCATTTTAAGAATCAATTTTCAAGAAAAAACATTGGTCATTCCTGGTTTAAGATTCTTCCATGTGGGAATTTGCTTCTTTTCTTTTTCAATATTTCTTTAAGCTCAATATTGCAGAGTTTTCAACTGTTGGTCCAAGAAAACAATCAACGTGAAGAGGTCAAATTGGGCTCCAGGAGGTAGTTTTGCGCAATTTCACTTATTTCCGACATGCTATATAGACACAAGTTATTTATTAATAAATAGTTAAATGGCATGCAAATCTTTTTTTAAATGGATGGAAGTTGATGAATGTGCTGATACCCCGCCATTGGTGCTCAGCACTGTCATACCGGCCCACAGTAAATGTCACCGCTCTGTCACTGCCATCCGACTGAAGCCGAGTTTGATGATTCGGGCTAAATCACAAAGGTTTTCTTCTCAAAGTGGGTTTGAAAAACTAGATGTGAAGTATCGATTGATGTGGACTTGAAGGATGTAAGCTCACGAGGACACCATGGGAAGATAAGCACGAGGAGCATGAGAATGCTCCCACTTCTCAGCGGACACACTTTGATGGTCATGTGAATCATTTGTAGATTCACACGGTCCACAGCTGGAGTGAGTGTGTGTGAGTGAAAGTTTGCCTCGCAACCAGCCCGCCGGCCTCGCACAAGTAGACAAAGTGTCACAGATGCTCTGTTTCCTCCATCGTGAACCTAGTTTTGGTGCACCTTGCTGTTGAGGCTGATGGAGCTCTCTGGCTCGGGTGCGCTTAAGTAATAGGGATCTGTAAATCTCTGTGGAATATCACTAAGAAGTATGTTTTATTAGTAGCTAATCCAATTTGCCAAAGGCTCCTCAGCACCCTATAAACATCTCTACTATATTTCAAACATCAGCAGCGGTCTTTTTCTTCTGATCTCGCATTTGAATAAAAAACCTATTATACAGCAAAAAAATGGTGGCATGGGGATCTCAGGGAACGGCTCACAGTGCTTCTCTTGCTGGTAGCAAACAAATGTTATTTTAAGAAAGCAGGTTTAGTATAATTTATGTGTAGTTAATTAAATCTCTTGTTGTTTGTGTCCTTTTAAGGCTGTTTGGTGGGCCTGGTTTTCACTAATTCTGTGTGTTAAGCAAAAACGTCAAATTTCCACAGCCCTGTAGCGTCTAAAACTCAAGAAATACCTTGTTTGGTATAAGAGTAATGGTGATGAAAGGGAGAAAGGGATGGATGAAAAAAATAAATCTGCTGTGCAGTCAAATTTGTTTGCGGACTTGCAGGCTATGATTTAACTTTATTCACTGTGATGAAGTGGTTTATCTTTCACTTTCAACACTCACATACTGAAGATCACTTAATGAATTAGACATTCTGTTTGATTTGACTACGAGATCTGTAATAACAAGTTGCATTTTGTTTGTCCGCAGGCTTCCCAAATAGAGAGAAGGTCCATGCCCGCCATGGGCTACATCACACACACTGTCAGTGCACCCAGCCTACATGGCAAAACGGTACGATCCTCTTAATTACATTCCAAACATATCTGTGTTCATTTTTTAAGGATAGTTGTCATTGTGTATCAACATAGTCCGGCAGCCCGTTATTCTAGGACAACCAAAATAGGTATGAACAGGAGTAACTCCCGGTGACGGTATCAAGTAGATTTCAGAGCCGTTTGACTTTGTGAACGCCTATAAAACGTCTATAAAATATTTTTCTAGTGTTCTGATAACACTCATCGTCAGACGATCCCCGATAGCACCTCTCACCCTCCCGGTCTCAGCTACTGCAGCGCAGCCACTGTAACGCCCAGTTGGTTCTTAAGCATTTTCTCTCGTCCCTCTGTGCTCTCACTGGCCGGCGGCCCTTAAACCCGGGCGCTGGCTACAGCCAGAGGAGCTCACCCTGCTCCTCATTCAGCTCCGAAGGCACCAGGCTAAGATGGTTGGTGTGCATAGCCCCTGCGATGCGTTCGTTCACCTTCAGCGCCACCAGCACAGCGGCCTTCTAGGCCCCAGCATGCAGGTCAGGGGCCACAGCTCTTCCCTAACCTCCTCTACAGCACACTGCAACCTCTGCCAGTGCATGGAGGGCCCGACCCCCCCCCGGCCAATCCTTTACATTAACCCCATGTCATTCATGCGACTTTGCAGTCTGCTGGTGTTGCTTGGTTGTCTCGCTCCTTCAACCACTTTGGCATGAGCCGTGTTGCACCCCAGACTGTCCTGATTGCCTCTTAGCGCTCCATTAGTGTCTTTACACTCGTTGTCACTCATTCACCTTGTTCAAAATTACAAAAAGCTTTCACAGGCTCGTTTGACATGTGTAAAAAGAATAGTTGAAGCATCTTGCCTGTCAACTGTTTGATACTTTGAATGGCAGATGCATACCTTTCTACCGACACAACATTTCTATCTACGTTTTCTGTGTGCTATAATATGCTGCTTTTGCTCTTGGTGTTCTCATTCTGAGGCAGCCATCAGCCCACAGTCTCCCCTACGGGCTGGTGGAGTGACAGTGCATTGCTGTGAGACCAGCAGATTGCAGTGAAGCTGCAACGGCGCTCAGTAATGACAACTCCACCCAGTCTGTGACCGCCGACCGCTCTGTGACCATCCTCCATGCGTGTGACGAAATGCATAACACTCAGTTTTACCACATGTCATGCTCAAGGCCTGCGTTGCTGAGTTGTGTATGAGGTCAAACATGAGGCAGTCAAATAAATGACACCATTATATAATAATTTTGCCTTTACTAACTAATACAGAGGTAGAAAAAGGAGGCTGTAATATAGACCCGGTAAATTAATGTTCTCAAGCCTCAACAAGCAAACGATCTGGTCACCCATTCTCCTTTGTAGTTTAATTTTAAATTATTTATCTCTCTATTGCTCATTTAAAGGCTGATGATACTTACATACAACTGAAGAAGGACCTGGAGTATCTAGATCTGAAGGTGGGCCCTAACAAAGTAAATGCCACTTTATCCTTTTCATCCTCTTCTCCGTCTCCCTTCTCTGGAAAATCCCTGATTGCAATCTTGTTCTTCTGCTGCTGCCTCCAACATCTGCCCCCCTGTTTCCTCCTTTTTTCTGTCTTCCTTCTGTTCTAATCTGAGCTTTCTGCTGTATCCTTGTGATGGAATTATTATGCATTTTCATCGTCTTCTTATTATCTAAATAAATATATTTTTTCAAATATAATTCAGTGAATCACACAAATAGTCCAAAGTATCTGACATACAGGGATAGCAATGTTATTTGCTTTCTTGAAGTTACTGTGAGGAACATTAAACCAGTACACAATGTGTCTGAAAACTGCACTTCACAGAGCTTTGGGTACTTTTGGAATGTGCATTCAAAGAGAAACAGAGCATTCCTCTGCTCTTTAGAAGGAACGTTACCATCCCAAGTTATGCAGGATATGGGGCCTGGATTCCTATCCAATATTTCACGGTGTGATACTCCAACACTGCTTTGAGATTGGAGATAATGCGGAAGAAGTTTTTTTTGTCAACGTGCATCCTTGCATGCACTGAAGTATTTGTAAATGTATTGGATGTCTGTTGGATATCTTCAGTTTGATATTGTTTTGATTGCTAAAGAGAGAAGACTCAATGGTGCTCTGTAGCAAATACACCGGCAATGTGACAACTTTTATATTTTAGGGCCTCTAGTTTCATTGTTGTAACCGGCACAAAAAGACAAAAGGAATTCAGCGGTGTGTGATCACCATGGACTCATTGCATTAAAACGTTTTTGAAAAACATGCAGCGTCCAAACCCAAGCTAAGATATCCTGGTCCTGACTTTCCTCATCTACCTTAACAACTACAGAAAACATTTTTAAAAATGGTTCTTACGGGCAATGAAGTACTCCATGTGACTTCTGTGGTGTGTAAAATAGGTGTAATGCCCCTTAAACAAATTCCCTCATTCGCACTGGTCCGTACCACTGGACTCGGTGTGGTAATCCTGATGTTGGTGTGTTGTGAATATTCCACCTACACATTTCAGCTTCATTCAGCACATCTCTGCCCCCATGTAGAGAATCTTTGGATAGGACTATGCATACATATCTACATCTCTATATCTATATAGAGATATAGATATTGAGATCATGGTGATCCTCTCGGAGCTGCAGGCAGTTATGATTTGTTTGCATAGAATGAGATGGAAGTCATTGGTGAACGCAAATTTACAGATTTCAAACCAATTTTCCAAATGTGAAACTGTGATGAGGACCACGGTATTAATGATGCTATGGCAGCTGCAGGAACACACCTGCAGCTCATTGTTTTTTTATCATTCTCACATATTACACTTACTTATTATTCAGTGTCTTACAGGCTGCTTTGCCCACACAGTCATGAAACTAGGGGCCCCACAGTTTGACACCAACACAATGTGTTTCTGAATCAAAACATTATCACACATAAAGGACTTTATGTGTCTTGGTAGGTTAAACTCTACCAAGAAGAGCAGCTTTGGGGTTTCTGTAGTTTCTCCAAACACTGAATTTGCAGAAACTCTCTCTATATAAATGTTTTTGCACTGCTGCGATAAGCTTTGCTTTTTAAAAACTTTTCAAAAACACATTTTTTCATTGTTTTATCCACTTTCGATCCAGCGTGATGTTGAAAATCTGTTTATGATGCAGAGATGAAGTTCGTGAAATCTTTTTTTTTTTTTTGAATAATAATACATGAATATATTTTATTGTATTTGTGGCTATGTGGAATTTCAGGTTACTGGACGTGACAGTTTAAAAACAGAAAGACCAGCAAAGCCCGTCAAAATAGCAGAAAGTGATGCTGATGTAAGTGCACTATTATGTTCTCAGGATTTAAAGCACGTTGTTTATCCCTCGCTTCCTTTTATTCAAGATCGCCTTTTCTGACTTTTCTGATCCACTACAGAGAGGCAGCTGCCTTTAGTTTGACTTTACTGTGTGTGTTAGTGTGGTTTGTGTATGTGTGTGTTCTTAAGTTGTGGTAAACAGAGGCTGCGGAGGGAATGTATGTACATTGCAACACTGTGGGGACGCCCATCCGCACTGCGCAGCGAAGGCCTGAGACTATCGACCACAGCTTTTATTTTCCTCCCCGCAATTTAAAGGGAAAAATACATGTAATGGGAGTTTTAGATGTTGAGCTGTTAAATTTTTCAGTTTGATTTCCCTGACCCTGCTTTTCTCGTTCTTTGTTTTCTGCTGAATAGAGGTAAATAAGATGGATGTCCTGGCTTTTCATCATTAGCATTGTTCCACTTTAACAATTTATAAGAATTTGCCAGTAAATTGTCTGAACAATGAATATTTCATGCAATTAAAAACAACAATATATGGCAGCAAAATAAAAACAGCTTAATTATTAATTGAACAGAGTGATAAATAGATCTGAGAAAAAAAATCTCTGAGAACGACCGTGCACTTGGCAGTGTTATGTTGTTTTCATAAACACATAACCCATTTCTGGGAAAACAAATCTGTCACTCTCAATAAACACACATTTCTCCAAAAGTGAATTTGAAATATGGATTTTTGATTATGATTACTCATAATGGGTATTACCAGATCTCACCCCCAAACTAGACAGTATGTAGTCTTTTGATATTTCTCTCTGCCCCGATGAGAGGAAATTCCTCTGGGCTTTTCACATATATGAGTTTTATTGACATATTTACAGAGAGCAAAGACGGCAGCAGACGATCAATTCGTCTTATCTTTCTGCGTTGTTAGAATATAGTTGAACAAGACTAGAATGAAGCGGCTGAACTCTGTTGTAAACCGATACCGAATCTCATCAGCCGAGTCGGTTTTATCTCACTTCTTGTTTTCATGTCCCATTTATTTATTTATTTATATATATATATATATATATGGTTTAGATATATGCTAAATGTGGTGCTATTTGAGGTAAACGGAGGCAAATACCAATGAGGTAAATGTGATATTATCCTTTGTCTTCCTGCATTCTTATTTTTTCAATATGTTTTTATCAACAGGTGAAATTAAGTCAATTGTGTGAACAGGACAAGATTCTACAGGAGCTGGAAGCCGGGATACGCTCTTTGAAGGAGGACAAGGTCTTCGTATTTATGCATAGCATAGAAGTTGCTTTAGGTCTTTTGTATGGGCCGTATTTATATATATATATATGTGTGTGTGTGTGTGTGTGTGTGTGTGTGTGTGTGTGTGTGTGTGTGTGTGTGTGTGTGTGTACCAGCCTGCATTGGTGTGATCTATAAATGCTTCTTGTGACGGTGCCTTTCATGTGCTTATCTAGGACAAGCTAGAGTCGGTGCTGGACGTCTCCCACCAGCAGATGGAGCAGTACAGAGATCAGCCGGCCCATGCTGAGAAGATTGCCTATCAGCAGAAATTACTACAAGAGGATGTGGTGCACATCAGGGCTGAGATATCTCAAGTGTCCACAGTAAGAGACAAGCTGCACTCTCAAGTCTTTTGTGCTTATAATGGAATATGCAGCGTCTTTGACGTCTTTCTTAAAATAAACGGTTTTAATTTATGTTTGGACGGAGTCCACTACTACATGCAAGTGATTGTGACCACTTAGTCGTTTTTTATTAGCTGGGAACGAAATGGTTACCTCTATTTTTAGTTGTCCCCTTATGACGTGTCGGCAACTGGCGCAGCGTTTCAGGTTGACTGTGATGATCAAAATGAGTGCTGGGGGACAAACCCGAGGCCATAAACAAACTCAGGAGTACATTTCTCTGTCATTCCGAAAAATGCTTTTGTTAAAATGTTTACAGATATTCAAAACATTCAGGGTTAAAATGAGAAAATATGTGTTTCAAAAGAAACATTTGTATATGAACCGCAACCGTCTATTTCTGTAGGCTGTCAGTGCGAAAGACGTTTCCGAACACATTGGTCGTGCTGAAACCTTTCTGATGCTCCCATTGGTTACATAATATGTAGAAGTATAATATAAAAATGACTGAACATTGGTAACAATGGAGCAGATCAAAGGAATTCCAATATTTAACAAAATACATTCAAGTGAGAAATCAAGATTCTAATAAAACACCACAAGACACAAGCTCTCTTTTACTCCCGTACGCATCTCACCACGTGTGTGTGTGTGTGTGTGTGTGTGTGTGTGTGTGTGTGTGTGTGTGTGTGTGTGTGTGTGTGTGTGTGTGTGTGTGTGTGTGTGTGTGTGTGTGTGTGTGTGTGTGTGAAGTTCAGTCGACAGGTCGCAGCCTCACGTTATCGTAGAAGCCTCTCGTCTCGTGAGAGGGTTATAATATCCCAGAGCTGTGTCCCTTCTCATCAGAGCATGGAGTGTGTTTGTTTTTTGTTTTGCAGGAGATGGAGAACGCGTGGAATGAGTACAGCCGACTGGAGAGAGACGTGGACTGGCTGAAGTCGGCCCTGCAGGGACAGATGAACCGCAGCGATCTCTCTCAGGTCTACAGTCACAATACAAAGACTTCTGTGTGGTGGTCCTCTCTCTGCAGAGGATCAACTTCAAAATGAAAACTGTATTTTGGCAAATTGCATGACTTCTCGTTAGTAACACATTGCCTTGTAAGTTATTTAAAGTAAATAGGTATCTTTAAACGTGTGTGTTTCTGTGGGCCTCTTTGAGCAGCAAGATAAAGTCCAGATCAGAAAGGAGCTGTGGAGGATTGAGGATGTTATTGCAGGCCTCAGCACCAGTAAAGCCAACTACAAAGTCACCATCTCCTCTCTCACCAACCCAGGTGAGACACCTGGAGCTTTCACGTGTAAAAAGCCAGAGATATCTGCTCGCTGCAATGCAGTACAAGCCACGTGGTCATGCTGCTGCATCTCACCATTAAAACTCTTAATCATATACTCAATACTAATGACTTGAACATTTCCCAGGGGAAAAGAAAGCCCCGTCTTTACCGCGTTGTGTGTGTTCACGTTACGTGTTCATGTTCATGGAATCCCCAGAGAGGAAGTTTGTGCCTTCAGTGTCGGCGTCGTCAGTGCCTTCTGTGCCCGGGAGCCCGTCTGCTGTGGAGATGAGACTGTCGCAGCATCAGCAGCATCAGCAGCATCAGCAGCACAGCCCTCACCTCAGCCCCAGCGGCCACAGCGCCGCCCGCTCCTCCAGCCCCAGCCAGCAGCCCTCCCATCACTGGGTGGATGCAGCCATCTCTAGTGGTCTTCAATGGGTGAGTGACCCTGTGAACAGAAGGCAGCTGGTTCTACATAAACAGCCTTTTATGACAATCTGAAAGCATTGCAGGTTCTTTTTTTATAAAATATACAAATTAATATAATATTCCATTTCGGTTTAAGATGGCCACATATGCTAGCTCTTAAAAAATAGTGAAGTCACAATTTATGAGTTTTTTTTTAATGGCTTGTTTTATTCAACCAACATTCCAAAACTCACAGACATTCAATCTGAGGGAAAATGGAAAATCCTCACACTTAATAAGATGCAATATGAATGAGTAAATGTTTTGTATATTTGACTATATTTAACTTTAAACTGATTCCAACACTATGTAATGTATACAGTAGCTCTGGTTTTGCCATTTTTGGCTCCACTGTATTGCAGATAGTATTATGATAAACAGATAAGAAAAGAGTGTATCCACATATGTGCATCTAGCATAAGATATTTGCTCTGATTTTGTGGTTTCTTAGGAAAGGATGATGTCATAGAGAAATGAGTAGATGCTTGTGTGTCATATTGAGTATCGCGTATATCAATAGTCAACAGTGTTTTTTTGTACAGGGTGGGGAAGATGTGCCACCTAGACCTCCTCTACCTCAGCTTTACAATCCCGATGAGCATCCCCCTGCTGTGCCCCCGTTGCCCCGGGAGACCACAGTCATCAGACACACTTCTGTACGCGGCCTAAAGCGACAGTCGGACGAACGCAAAAGGGACAGAGAGGTTGGCCAGTTCACTAATGGAGACAGTAAGGTACAGACATTATGTGTGTTTATGTGCTGCTTATTATATATTATATATATTTACGTTTCACCTTCTCATCTGTTTTTAAATCTCTGTCTTTGAATCTCAGGTGGAGTTCAGGCCTTTCCTGAGTGATCCGGAGCTTATGGGGGCTGGAGATGGCGCCAGCCACATCAGTATAGCCACATCTGGACATGATGGTTACCAGACATTACCTAGCAGAGGTATAGTAGAAAACATGTATTTAGCTGTGGGATGTTTAATGTGTTAATAAATGTACACTAGCTTCTGGCTTTTTTGCCAAGTTGAGAAAGGTGTGTTTAAGTTCGTTGGCTTTCCCTCAGGAGTGGCTGGCTCCTCGCTGAGGCTGAATCAGTCCTCGGGCGTCTCCTCGTATGTGACCCTCCGGAGAGCAGCCTCAGCTGCCGGCATGAAGGTAAGGCTCAGAATCAACTTTGTCTAATTTAACAAGGAATTGTTTAGAAGAGATTGGTTTATATTTTCTCCAGCTTGTTTTGGTGGGCTTCTGCCTTTAACATCACAATCTCAGATGTCATCCATCTCTGCTGCCAAGGACTATATACCAATAAATCACATTGTATACATGTAGTGAATCAAAAGTGGGTACCCAAAGCAGTGGAGAGCAATATTCAGCATTCTAGATTATCTCAATGGAACTTTTGACTGAATTAATTGGGAGTTGCATTCAATTGGAGCTAGCACAAATACACAAAAACCCAGCTGCAAATGTTCACCGGTGGGAATCAGATTCAGAGACTTTGGAGATTTTTGGTTATAACCTATTTGTAGAAATAGTTTTTATATTTTGTTGAAAAAAACCCTAATTTAGATAAATCCGTTCAAAAGTATTGTGATAATTTCAACAACATTATCCTCCTAATCAAATCTCAAAAATTACATTTCTTGGTATTATTCCACAGAAGAAAATTTGATACTTTTTGTGCTATGTACACTGCATAAATCTGTATGCTCGAATTACAACCTCAGTAATGTCACATCTCTTAAAACGGAACTTCCTCCCGTATTCCTTTCTCAATCCTTATTAACAGCTTCTATCTTCGTGGTAGGCTTGTTTTGTTTTTTCTTCCACTTCTTTGCCTTTTGCACCACCTCTTGCTCATGTTATCAACTCTCTTTGCTCTCCCCCTCCTCTCAGGAGAGACCAAAAAGTGCCTTGGAGCGTCTGTACTCTGGGGACTCGGTGCAGCAGCAGAGGGGGAAGATGAGTGCTGACGAGCAGCTGGAGAGGATGAAGAGGCACCAGAAGGCCCTCGTTCGCCAGCGCAAACGCACCCTGAGCCAGGGAGACCGCCACGCCTCTCCCTCGTCGCGCACTTCTTCATCCTCCTCGCGCCCGCTTTCCGCAGACCTGGGATCAGTATGTTACTAGAACTGTATCACACGTCGCTCTCTCATGCATGACGACAGCCAAACCGGGACTGGCCATCTACAAGTAGCAATGAGCACCGTTGCTTCTTATAGTCTGTCTTTTGTTAGTTCAGGACATTAAAAAGTTGATAGCGATACATTGAAATAGTGCTGTACGGCAATTCTCTGTGTGGCTCTTACTGTGCTCCATTCCTGCACGCTGTTCTCAAACATTAATACCTTTTTCACAGCAAACATATCGACTTGTAATAGTAGGAAAGGCACGGTTACTAATGACATAACAATGGCTGTCTTGGGTTCAAGTTTTCCAGTAACCCTTTTGGGCATTCAGCCAACATGCAGGATACTAGGACAACATTATTGCACCTAATTTACATCTTTGCTTTTCCTACTGTCCTAGAAGTAAAAAGATATGTATGTAATATGTATTTTAATTTTTTGGGGTGAACTATCCCTTTAACACTTAACAGTCATTTGTACAAGTGGTTATTATTATGAAGTGGAAATTATTCAATTTGACAATGTATAGGAAAACGTGTTATTCCTTAAAAGCTTTGCAATATAACATATCTTGCCTACCAAACACATAACGCACTAATTACAACAGACATGGGCCTTAAATGCCATCAACTGTTACCATTCATGGGTATTTCATTTCATGGGTACTTCATCCATCCAGTTTCACCTCTTCTCACTCATCCTTCAATCCCTGACCGGCTGCTTTCAGTCTGACTCGAGTCCTCCCTCTCTTCATTTAGACTTCAGTGCCTGCTGCTCATTAATGTAGTGCTATTGCTGTCTCTAAGCAGTCCATATATGTGTGTGTGTGTATGTGTGTCCGTGTGAGAGAGTAAGAGAAGGAAATTCTTTAATTTCCACTGACCAAATCATTGACATACTTAGAGCATTTCTTTTTAAGCCTATTCATCTATTCCTAATCCATGCATCTCTATTCATGGCATTTGTGTTTTACACAGATGAAGATACGTTTCTGAGTGTTTATGGATTGGGAGTTACTATTGTCCCTTTAACCGCTTCCCGGGCTTTTTGATGGAAGCCTTTTATTTAGTCCAAACTTGTGTATTAAATCGAAATTTTATATCAAAACATAGGTAATAGGTTATTTCATTGTTCTCACAGTGTCTTTATCTGATACTAATACTGAAGTAATTCTAATAATTAATTGTTAGTGATAAGAATCCTATTTTAAATGTGAATGTTTGGAAATAAATAAACATTTGGACTCATATTACCATGTTTTTTAATTTGTTGTATTTTTTCCTTGAATACATGTAATACATTGTTTGGTGAAACTTTCATTGGAATAAGTGAAGTGATTTTTTGTGTTTGTGTCGATTGCATCGTGTTGTCTTCTTTATCACTGAGGATGTACATGCATGCATTTTGATTTGAGAGCGTAAGCACACTCAAACAAATGCATGCTCCCTCTTTTTTTCTTTTCTTTTCCACATTTCAACACACCCACACGTTCTCTCTCTGCAGCCTTTAAAACCATTCGCATACCAGTGATAACCATTGTACACAACTTGCTTCATGAAATGATGTATCAAGGCTGATAATCTGATTTTCAAATTTTCCTTCATAGTTTGAAGGTTGGAAGCATCGTGTGAAACATATTTCACCGTCCATCTTTTTGTCTGTGTGTGTTTTCAGTGGAAGAGGGAGCAGGAGTTTGACCTGCAGTTGCTGGAGAGGGCTGTTCAAGGTGAGGAGGCGCAGGTAGTGAGGAGCGTTCAGGGGGAGGAAACGGCTCCCGACCACAGAGAGAGGCCTCGCTCCCGCTCTGACGAATGGCTGACCCTGCGCTCCACCACACCCTCCTCCCACGAGGTTGACTTGGAGCCGTTGGACTTTGACCTGGACCTTAACAAAGAGGTAAGTTATCTTTCTCTGCGGCGAAATATAGCAATTGTGTTTGGTCAATACTTTAACATAGTGAATGAGTAGAAGAAGAAAACACATACGACAGCCTGTGACCACAGTCAAATCAGTAGAAAACCAAATGTTGTACTCCCAAATCCTGCAACTATCTGGTTCTAATTGTTCTTCACGAGCCAGTTGACTGGTTGTAACTGTTACACTCCTTGTTGTAGCTTTAGCCGATGAAGGTTGTTTATCTCTTTCACAGTAAATCTGTCTCAAACATACTATGTCAAATGCAGCGTGCCATAAATAAAAGAAAGTAAGTGGTTTTGAACCCAGTTCTTTCGGTTAGCTTTCCAAGCCTCAGAAGGTGTTGATCCCGGAGCGCTACGTGGATTCAGAGCCCGAGGAGCCTCTCAGTCCGCAGGAGCTGGAGGATCGGCACCGTAAGGTGGAGCGCATCAAGAGCATCTTGGCAAAGTCCAGGTACATGAAATCTAATCGTTTGCCGTTCAACTGTTGCTGGCGGCCGATTGTGGAGTTTTAGGAAGGCCTCGCGGTGAGCCAAACACCCAGTTAAACCAAAATACTGAAGGTCAAGCCCTTCCTTTACTCTACCAACGTGTCTTTGGGAAAGGTTACAGTTCCGCCACCTTCAAAGGCACTTGACTTTAGCTCCGGCTTCCCTTTGATATCCCAGCAGCTGTGCGCTTGGCAAGAGAACGCCCTCTTTAGCAGTGACTGCATTTCCCACATTTTCACCAAAGCATCATGATTTTACAACATTGTCTTCTTTGTCTCTGCGCACGGGACAGTGTGCAAAACCTAGCACCCGGAGTGACTTTGGACAAGCCAGAGGTCGGGCTCGTGGCACTCGACTCTGCTCTGCAGGAGCAGGAGAGGATCATCACCATGTCCTACGCTCTCGCCTCGGAAGCTTCGCTCAAGAGCAAATTAGTCACAGGTTGGTCATTTGACAATTTGGAAATAGTTTTTTTTTTTTCAGCCTGAAGGTTGTTGTAGGTTGTACATCGTTGCTTCATAAATCACGTAAAAAAATGTCATTCCACAGAAACACTGCTGACAGTTTCAGTTAAATCTCTCCCTCCATCAATTTGGCATCTTGAAGAAGGTATGAAGTGAGTCAAGCAGTCTTTCAGGAATACTCTATTGATGGAGTGGAGATTAGAAGGGCGTAAGGTGCAGAGTCAAGCTATAAGTCTGTCCATTTCCTAATAACTGAAGATTATTCCTTCTTAGAAGCTCAGATAGTCTCTAATTGCAATCCACGTCGAATCCTTCAGACAGGGGAGGAATAGCTTGATGAGGCCATTTTGTGCGCTGATCAATGACCCAGTCAGACTCTACTCTACCTCTGCGTACCACTGCTGCTGCTTTGAACGCAGCTCTGAACCTGCATAAAAGACACCACGCTCACTTTTCATCTCTTTCATACTCTACAGTCGACAGGCCGGTTCATTTTCACTGTAGCTGCAGCAGATTGTCAGACCTGTCTGCCCTGCTCACACGTACGCACGCACGCACACACACACACACGCGCATATATATGCACACATACATCTGTCACACACAGTAACACTCAAGCTGTCAGCGTGTGTGGAAGCTTAATATGCACAGTGAGGCAAAGTCAACAATTATAACATTATTTCCAGCATAGAGAAATGTCAGGGAGTATAACTAGTGGCATCTTGTCAGTAGAGACTGAATCAATGACTTTCTCTTCCTTTGGTGTTAAAGTAAGGTATGCTCGTGCATTTTCAAATCCTTGAATTAAAAGAAGAGGATTTTTTTTTTCTTCTCAGCATTATGCATGAGAGACTTCAATATTGCCGGCTTAAGGGCAGCACTATGCAGCGTTGCAATTACGTACAGTAAATATTAAAAAGGTGTGTCTGATTGTTAAATTTCATTCTATTTTTGTTTTTTTTTGTGACAACCCAGGGATGTTGAAAGGAATCTGTAATTTAGTGCTGGAAATATGCCTCTTTGTCTAGCGCCCACATGAATATAAAGCACATCTCAATGTGGGAGGTGGTGATCCATATTAATCTGCCCCTTGTTGATGCCTTGATAGCTTTCCTGTTAATGTATCCAGTCGTGTCACAGAATGGTGGATAATGCTGCAGATCATTAAGTAGAACACCAATATCAGATTTGATCCATGAGTTTAATAAAGTACCTTGATCTGTCAGATATTTATTCATTGGATAACAAAACGCATATTCCTGTTGGTTATTTCAACATTAAGAGAAGTTTATAAATAGTCCAGGAAAACGGCATAATTTAACCGTATACCGCCATCAGTGTCATCAGTATGCAGAAGTTGTGTCCTTTCAGGAAAACACGCCACCATTGTGTGGTCCTCATCCAGTTCCAACTCTCATTGTGCCTTCAAACTTTCCCAGAACTGGCCCTTTGACTAACAGACCAATGCTGTTTTCTCCCCCTCTTGTTTTCCTTGTGTCCTCTCCTCAATAGTTCTACCACAGGCTAACATCCCCGCTCCTCCTCCTCCTCCTCCTCCCCCGCCTCCCCTTCTTCCTCCTCTTCCCCCCGTTTCTCTGGCACCTCCCTCTCCTCTAAGCAACGGAATCCACTACACGTTTGTCTAATCCGAGAAATAAAGTAAGGGCATAGCTGCATGCGGTGCTGATTGTCTCCAACGCGGGTCTCCTGCGTGCTTTGCACCTCTCTGCATGCTCACGGCTCTGTTGTGATCGTGGCAAACACATCTTGTGTAGGTTAGGGAAGCCCTGCCTCTGCTCCCATTATAATCAAAACAAACATCTGCAGGCAGTCTTCTCATCCCACTGTGATAATTGTGTGTAAATTGTTTTTCCTTTTTTTTTCTTCTTCTTTCTGTACCACTGCCAAAATATTTATGGATGGTTGAGGAAAGAAAGGGCTCAAAGGAACATGACTGTTTGTAGCATTGTGTGTAATTAACAAAAGAGACGCCGTTTGATTTAGCACCTCGACAGTTCAGTAGTCTGCACAGCTGCATTCACAGCACCAATTAACTCCCCATCTGTAGTCTGGCAGCAATAAGTCAGGAAGAAAATTGCAGATATCATCGATGTTACTTTTAACGCACAAAGGGGGGCCGTGTCATTTTTTTTCTGCCTTATTAAAATACTTCCATTCACCAGGCAATAATGACAAATATTTGATCACTCAATTATATGAATGATCTCATTCATCACATCCAGGTGGGCTGTTACGGTAAAAGGTGGAGTTTGACGCGCAGTTGGTTTGGAAAAGTTTGTCTGCTACAGTTTTGTTTCCATCCCAACGATAAAAGGATTTACTAATGTGATTTTAATAGAGGGAATAGGTGGTTACGTAGTGCGTCTGAACATATGTTTACCAACCTGTAGCAACAACCTCCTCAGAAGTGCCACAGATCGTTTCTACAGGAAGAGTACGAGCTGGGCATAATAATGTAGAATGTAGAATGTTATTCAGTCGTCTTTGGCTTTCTCATCAGTTTGGCAGCTGCTACTAATGATTGTTCTTCATGCCGTCTTTAAGTGATGTGGCTTCAGTTTATTGTGGTTGGTAGGATAATCTAATGTTTGGATGAGTACCGCACTGCCTACTATATTCCCTATTAAAAAATATCCTACTAATGTTGCACGTGTTTTGGTTGTGTGGCACGGGCAGCAACAATGTGTTACGGCATTGATTTAGTCGTGAATCACTTTGACGGATTCTGCTGTTGTGGTTGTCATGTATCTTTGATATTTGCTGTTTGTGTTCTCACGTTGTCTTTCTGTTTCATCACTTCTCAGCTCAAGCAATTTTTGGACACTGAGGTGCTATTCCACAAAGACAACAAGCAATTTGCAAGAAAAGTGGATCCTTGGACATTTCCGTCTTTCCATGCAGCAGTACAAAAACTGTACTAATCATTTATAATACTTGCTTGGGCCCACGCAGTATTGGCTCGTCAAAGTGTGTCCACTCGCTGTAAGCAACAAGGAAATGGAGGACTTTGAAACGCTGTGCTAATTAACTATGAAAGCGTCTAACAAATGTAAATCTCATAATAATGTTTTCTACATGTTGATGCACTTTGAATTGTACACTGTATCACGTTTTCAAGGTAACACTCAATGGCTATTACTTGCAGTGTGAACGCAACTGGGTCATTTTTGTTTTTATCAGGTACAGAATGTTTAGAACCAGAGGTACTAAATGCGTCATGATAGTAGTATTTTTGTCAAACCTCAGATAATATTCTTACACCAAGCCACTCGAAATATTATATGTATGTACCTTGAGCACTGCCAGTCTCCTTTTAATTTGCCAGGATGAATTTTATTTTTGCTTACATCAGGATATGTGCAATGTGCACATATTTTCTGTGTGACTGGGGAAGGTTGCACATTAGAAATTTATAAAAGAAAAGAGAAAAAAGTGAATATTAAAGATATTAACACAATGTAACTTTCATGTTTTATTTTTATTTTAATGGGGTGAGTTGCAACAAGTTTGCAAGCTTCATCTGCCCGATGGAAATATCACATGAGTCATAACAACAAAAGGGAGATTCAATAATAAACGACCTTCTGTTAGTGGCAGGTTGCACTGCCTCGTAATCGACGCGTTTGAGAAATTAGTTCAACAATGGCAGCTTTTACTTTTATTGAAATGATTAACGTTTAACCCATAGCGTTTTTTCCTTTACACATTTATCTCATGCGTTTATCGACCGCATCTTTATTCTAATCATGTACAAAGGAAAGGTACAAAATGTGCACTCATCATAGCTCCAGGATTCTCTTTGAACCTCCACATTGATTGCCTTGACCTATTAAACTTCATTATATTATTTGACAAGGGAACCAAACTATGGTATGCTCAAAGGAGGTGAACCTTCAATACAAAAAAAAGGCTTCTTGAAATGTTTCTTAAGTTCAAAGCCTTTTCCATCTCAAAAGGGCATTTTTAATTTGGTGTATTTTCGACCAAGAAGGTGGATACTAATAACTCTGGATTCTAAAGTACAGAACTCATATCTGTAAATCATGAACTATGTCTCCATTGCAATTGTGAAAGAAACTTTTGGAGAAATACATGCATTGCCCTTCTAATTCAAAAGAAAAAGAATACAGAGGGAATGTTTTTCAACACAAATATTTATCATGTTACATTAATGATGATTCCCCCCCCTCCCGGAAAATGCTCTGATAGGATGTGATGTACGCCCTTTAAATGGATGCAGCGCCCATGCCTGCCTTTGCCTGTCTGATAGTGAGCAGTTGTGATGCGGCTGCCTCCCAAGTGGCATCTTTATCTTTAATTGGAGGGTAATTACTTACACCAGTCTGCATCGTAGTGCGCTTTGAAAACACCTGAGAGAGGAGGACGCACCTCCCTCGGCAGCAGCATCCTCCCTCCCTCCCTCGCTGCCTCCTCTTCTCCTCCAGGATCGGGGGGGGGGGCCCACAGCGCCTGCTGGCCCTGGTGGCTCGGAGACCCATCACATCCTCCGTTCTGCTGATTTTGCAATAAAAAATGGGATGTTTTTCCCTCCTCCTGCAAAAATCCACCAATACCCTCCACTGAGGATTGTGGCATTTCCATGTATTGACGTTTGGCTGGTGGTTCATATACATTTGTTATTCTATGCTCTGGACTTCAAAGAGAATGAACGGGGGCCTATTATGCTAATTGGGTGCTGTTCTGTTAAAGGCAATCAAGGCCTCGCGCATTAATCTGTAACTAAATGCTTGCTGGATTCACCGATAGAGAGACTACGACACGTTCTGCTCGCTTTCCTGACAGCGATGTTGTTACAGTCGTTTTTGTAGAAGTGAATAAAATCTAGCAGGTGAGCAGCAGTAAATAAAATGTAGAAATCACTAAAGTAACAGTGTCCCACGTCGATGTCTAAAGTCCAACTTCTGTTACTCTGTTCGTCAGGTTTCCTTTTCTACGTTGAAAGGAAGAGCCTTTTGAGACCGTGCTAAGGAGTCCGACCTTGTACTCAAGTCTACATTGTTCCCTGCGCTGCACACCGCTGCGTGTTACATATTCACAGTTATCCCCCGACGGGGGAAGAGAAAGGGGAGATCCCGCTCTGATTCCCAGTGATACATATTTCCATCACATAAATATTATTGTTACTTGCCGTGAACGTGAGGATTGGATTGCATTGGAAGCACAGCCGGCCCCTCCTCTGGGCACCGCAGGGATCCAGATTGTAGTCCAATTGTACAAATACAAAACCAAGGAAGCCCATGCAATAGGTGCTTTGATTTCAAAATAGTATTTTATGCTGTTTTATCATTTTCAAGCCCCACATAGGGTACATTTTTGAATATGTAAGAAATGGAATGGTGATTTGTTGAATAATTGACGAGTTAGGAATCACTGAATATTCTTTCAATCGTGCGTGCGAGCTCAAAAGAATAGAGAGAGGCTGAGATACAGTAGTTCTGCTGCAGCGTGTTGACCCGACTATTTGCTGTAAATAAAAAAATGCCTTTGTGTAATCTTTGATTTCAAAGGTTTTACATTTGCACCATCACTCAGGAGGTAATACAAATGTTAGAAAAATACAAAATATTGAACAACACATTTACCTGAGCTATATATATATATATATATTAGATCTATATATATATAGATCTGTAGATATATATAGAAACAGTTTAGAATTCCTTCGACATAAATGATTAAGTGTGTTTTGAGAAGGTGCTGTGTTATATTAAACAATGAATTAATCTTATGTTCCTTAAACGGAAGGCTTTTACAATACCTACAGTGAATTGGGCTTTTTGTACATAAAAGCAGCTGCTTCGTAAATGAACCAAATGCCCCAGGGCCTCCTCTTTTATCCGGCTGCTTTGTGCACACATACACACGGATCTAAGTGAAATTTGCCATGTTCAGTCCCTCGAATGAAAAGGGAACACACACATCTGTGGATCTACGATGCACCATCACGGGGCATCCATCAGTTTAGTTGTTATTTCTTTTTTATATATATCAGTAACAACAGTCATATTAGAATGTAATTTGAGATGTGTGTTTTTAATGTGTGTTAATTTACAGACTAAGAAGAAGTTTTCACTTTCCCAGAGTGTTGACTGGGCCTTAAATAACAAAGAGCAGGTAATGTATTTAAAACTTCCGCACATGTTTGGATTCTGTTAGTATTCTGCTACAGAGTTGATATTTGTAGTACTGCTGGCACACGCTGCATGATGGAAGTATATAACTAGAATTGGCATGTTGCACTCCTTATTTCAACATGATTAATCAGTGGTTCTCTGTTAACTTGAAAGGAAATATTAGATCCTGACTAAACTTTGATGAAATCCAGAGTTACAAGTAAGAGATTTGGGTCAACTAATGAGAACAGAGCGTCCCACTTTGCAAGTCCAATTGGGAGAGAGGCGATATGCACGTATGCAAATAGTGTTGCATTGCATATGTTTAGCATTCAATAATGACTAAGTTGTGTTGGTTCGTATCAGCCGTTGTGGCTGTTGGCAAGAGTCGTCAGGATGTTCAGAAGTTTGGGCTGATGAATAACAATTTTAAGATATTTATACACCGGCCAGGAACGTTTTAGTGTGTTGTACTGTTAACAGCAGGTTTACAGCTGTTTATAAATGTATTTAAAACAACTGAAGATGTGATTATCCAGTATTAAACTTCAACAATGTTAAACCCTGTATCAAACACATGTTATATGATCATACATGTGCTTTTACTCGTTTATTCTATTATATCCTCTGCTGCTGTTATTTTCCCATCATTATGCTGCTTATTTCTCTCATTATATGAATCATTTATATCATATGTGTTGAATGTGTGGTTACTCTATTGTATTGAAATATTTTGTGCTTTTTAATTTTGAAGCATACAAAAAATAAATTGCATTGAAATTGAAATGAATTAAGACAGTGACAAATAAACAGTGAAATAATGTCCATGACTACATTAAACTGTGTTTTGGTGGGTAGTAGGCATGTATAAATAATTTATAAAGGCTTAATTGGTGTAGCGTGCCGCTTAAAGGTCTGAAGTAGAACTTTTATAATAATCTTCTTTCTGGTAAATGCAGGTAATTGTGAATCCCCATTAAGAAAACAAACCATTGTTGGTTTTTTTAGCATGATTCAGCTGCACACTTTTGAAACCTGCTCTGGCTGCAGCACTGCAATCAAAGCCCCCCTCTCCCCCCACACACACACACACACACACACACACACACACACGTGTGCTGTCTTTGCTCACTAACTGAATGGCTTTCTCTAATTAACCATGCAGAACAGGAGAAGAACACATGTTAATTTAATGTAACAAAAATGTTGATTTTTATGCACTCTCCTTTTCAAATATTTATGGGCTAGACTTGAATTTCAAGATGCATCAAAGACTCACAGGCTATGCAAATGTGTCTGCTTTACCCCCCAACAAGTTGCACTGTCTTTTACTCTGCATGCAGGCGTCACACACTCTGAGCTATAAAGAGGAAGCCATTACAGTCACCTCTATAGAAATAGCAGTCTATACTTGTGTTTCGAGAGCTATCTGGCACCTGCTCAGCTGTACCCATAAGCATGTACAATGTTAGCCTGGCGGAATAAGCAAACCCAATGAGACATAACTTTTTGCATCCGTCCTTTACTTCCGAATACAAATAACATAATTTCCAAAGCAGCAGAGAGCTCCCAAAGTAGAGAACTCAAGTGTTTAAAGTAAAACCGTTTCACTGCTTACACGCACTGCGATGAACCTCTGTAATAGCCTGAGTGTTGTGGTCCAAATGTTCTGGTTTTATTTTCAGTACAGTCATCTGAATTGTACAGGCTGGAGGGTCTTTTTCAGCAGTTCCTGCAGTGGCCAAAAGGTGGCGTATGAGCCACGTAAAACTGGCTTTTCAGTCGCGGTAAATCTGCGAACACGCAGCAGACAGGAATCATCGTGCGTGGGTTTGAAAAACAAAAATGTTGGACTGTTGCGGCAGTGTTTTACCTCGTCACACCACTGTGTGGAAGTTGTTTTATTATTAAAGTAGGTAATATTTGATATGGTTTTATATGGAGGAAAGAGTCCGCTGGACGGCAGAAAAAAAGTTTCTTGCGGAAAGGTAAGTCTCTTCTGTCTTTCATATTCGCTCTCCCTCCTTTCAGCGGCGATATTAACACACACACACACACACACACACACACACACACACACACACACACACACACACACACACACACACACACACACACACACACACACACACGTGATGCTCCCTGATCGAGATGGCGTTTGATTTTGAACAACAAAAAAGAAGGAGTGAGGGAGTCTGCTGTGATGCGGTGCTGTGGATGAGTTGTGTGGCCAATTCTCTCGCTCTCTCTCTCTCTCTCCCCCTCTCTCTCTCTCTCTCTCTCTGCTTCTCCTCCCTCTTGTAGCTCTATGTGACTGTGCAGTTAACAATCAGAATTTCCTGCTGCTGTCTCCTGTCTTTGTAAGTAACTTTCCTATTTCATTTTGTTTATTGCCTGATGAAATTACAGTGAATTGCGTTGTTTTGCTGGGTGTTGTGATGTGTTTTTAGGTGGTCGTTTTTTTCTTCTCATCATTATATGCTGCTGCATATATTTGTGTGGCTTGTAACTTTTTCCGTCAGCTGTCCCTTTCTCCTGTCTTATTCTGACTATTCTCTGATTTCTGAACATGGTTCATTTGGTGTGTTTGACGTACTTGAGCCTCCTCCAAACTCTCGTTGATGATTTTAAACACATGCTCATTCGGTACAGATAAGTGTCTCATTGTACAATCGCCTGTTTTAGTAACTGATCCATGGTACATCCATGGCCGCGGGACTTTGGCTTTTATTTCAGATGTCAAACGATTCTATTTTAAAACGCACTAAAGGATTTATTCATATGAATCAGTCTAAAATAACTTTGCATGGACATAGTGATGTAACACATTGATTATTTCAGTTATATCTAGTTACTGGGTTGAACACCTTTTGGGGATTTTCTTAAAAAATAAGAAGTGCAGTGTATCAGTGTAGGGAAATCAAAGTTAAATGTGGGTTAAATAACGTTTTTAATAGTGCTGCACGTTACACACTGTTTTTTTATAAATACGTATGTTTTATCATTTCAAAAAAATCTCAATTAATCTTAATTATATGCCTCGGAAAACTTACTCCTTCATGAGGATTGTTTTTTTAATTTTGATGTGATAATTGTTTTATCTAATGTGACATTAAAACAAATCTTAAACGCTCTTCATGCCGAGAGGAACGTGTCTGTTGGACCTAATTTTTGTCGCATAATCTGTCAAAGTAATGATCTTAAATTTTAGGTGCATTCAGTCCATGCGATTTGCAAATATCCAAAGAGAGGTCGGGAGACATCTGTGACCTGTGTAAATCAAACCGTCTTGTTTTATGGCTATTTAAAAAATCATTAACAAAATGCATGTATATCTCAGGTGCTGATTCAATTTCTGCAAATACATTCGGTTGTATCACACCGAATCTAAACACCTGATCTCCTCTTAGAAGGCTCCCCGCGCGCTCCCATTAACTCATGTAATCTCTTGCTCTGAACAAACGGCCATTTTTTAATATTCATTCTGAAGTTGCAAGGGTCAGTTTATGATTTGTCCTTCACCAAAATAGACTAAAAAAAGTCGACTAAATGGAAAAGTGCACCATCAACATCTCTACAAAGGAAGCAAAAGAAATCCTTAACTTTGCAGTCGATGCACCTGCAAGAGATGTTCATTTTAAGTAAACCTTTAGAACTAACTACGGCGGCTACAACCATCCTCCTTTTCTCCACTTTCATTTGGCCACAAACCTCTCCTCTCTCTCTCTCTCTCTCTCTCTCTCTCTCTCTCTCTCTCTCTCTCCCTCTCCCCCTCTCTCTCGCGTCTCTTGTCTGGGAGGAGGAGGAGGAGGAGGAGGAGGGGGGAGTCCTGCCTCTTTGCCTTCCTCAGATCAATGCCCTGGCCACTCACTTTCTGATGTTGCACGACGGGAAATGCTTTGAATACTTGCGACATGGCTGCGCGCATTGATTGCCAAGATTGACAGCAGCTCTACCCATCGTCTTCTCTTGTCTGAGTGAGAGAGGGAGGGAGAGAGAGGGAGGGAGGGAGAGAGAGAGAGAGCGAGAGAAAGAGGGAGGGAGGTAAAGAACAGATAGGCGAACAACAAAAGGTGCTTGTAGTTTAGGACAGCTGAACTTCACACAGAGTAAACGGGATTCCCTCGTTTGGCCCCGAGTGAGCAGACTCAAGTTTTCGCTCAACAGATCGCTCGCTGGTTCTTTTCTAGTCTAGAGGTGTTTACGCACGGGGGGGAAAGGACGCGTGAATATCTCCACGGCTCAGGGCATCAAGGTAAACAACACGTTTGCTCTACTTTTCAATATGCTCTAATCATTTCACCTTGTGTTTTAATGCTGATTCCTGAAAGTGGAGCGCGTGCGCTCGTCCCACTGAACTGTGTCCGTGCGCCGCGCGCAATTTTCCCTTTAAAATAATTCTTCTTTTTTTTTTTTTAATTTTAAAATAAGAAAGTTACTTGAGTGTCACGCTCACACGGGTTCGCGCATTTTTCTAACGGCGACGGTTGACTGACAAACTTTATCGCGTTGCGGTCGTTCGGCGCGGCGCGGCGCGGCGCGGATGCGGGATCTCGAGTTTACCTCACAAGTGAAGCGCAACCGCGTTAAATCCAACATCTCGAAGACACCCCCGAACCACTTCGGAAGGTTTGGAACCACGTTTTTTTTTATCCTCCACCCACCCCTCCGTTCTCTTTGTTTATTTCAGCAGCGTGAAGCCGTGCGTGCGGACCCGTGCGGGCGGACCGAGGCGGACCGCTGTCCCCGATCGCGCGTTCTCCAAACAAACCGGCGAACCTCGTAGAAGTGTTCAACGTGCAAAGTGTTTGTGTCCACGCGTCCCCGTAACTTTGCTCTCTGCTGGTGGCAGTTTCACTTCTGTCCACAGCGCGGTACTATTGGTTGACAGCGGCGCGCGCCCCGGTGCGTGTCCTCTCTCTCTCTCTCTGCGGGGCGAGGTGGACAAGTTCATTTGACGCTCGTGTCTCTTTATACCTTTACACATTCCGGAGCGCTTTTTTGTTGCTCGTTTAATTCTGTCTGGGTTTTTTTTTGGTTTTGTTTAAGTCAGACGCCGAGTTTCTGGCCTTCTTGTAGCCTGGGAATTTGTTTTCCCTTAACTTTCCCCGGAGGTCAGGGGAATTGACCCTTGAAGAATGCATAAGCCATAAATTAAATTTAACAATCGCGAGGCTTGTCCATTTAGAGAAGATGCACTTGAACACAGTTTTCCTTTTAAGTCTCTGACGCTCGGCGCCAACTGAACCAACAGCTTTCCTTAGGATAAGTGCAAATATACTTACAAGGATGACATTTTCTTACTTTCTGTCATATTTTAGAATTCTACACAATTACTGAAATTACGCACGTCACTTTTTAATAGAAAATTGTGATTTAGATATTTTAAAGCTTAAAATACACGTTGTTATATTTTTGTGTTGCGAAATGCCCCTTTTTAAATTGAGTTATATTGTACCTTAAGGACATATCTGAATTTCCCCCCAAATTAAGAGGTTATTCTTCAGATGAATCCGTCATGTTTATGGAAGTATCAGCGATGCAGCTATTGCCGGTGCGGAGAGGGACAGCTCACTTCAAGTGTTTTCCAAAATTAGCCACCCTCCCGGTGCGCGAGGACTCTCCTTCTACAGGGTCGATAACACTTTCACCAGAAGAAAGTCATCTCTGACAACCCTGGAAACTCCATAAAAATGAAAGTACACCAGTGTACCTTTCTTCTATTTATTGCACGCTGCGCACGTGCGTTTTGCGACCGCACAAATAGGCACCTGTGGCTCAATAATGAAAAGGATCTCCCTTTAATTCTGCTCACACTAAAACACATCCCGGGCTCATCCTCTGCAGTGAAGCCCCCCCCCTCTCTCTCCCTGTGATCGGGGGCTCTCTCTGTGGCCGGGAACTCGAGTTCCCTCATAAGGTGAGGCGGCGCAGGAGACCCAATGCGAGTCCAAATGGCACATTTATAATTAGACTGTCCATTCAGCACATTGTCCCGATTGCTATACAGGGACACTCGGCTCTGTCAAGAGTTTGTCTCTGACGGCTCGTGCGGCTCAACGTGTCGGTGGGTGAAAGAAAAGCGGCGTTAGAGCCCTTTGATGCCCAAACAGCCGCACTCTTATTTAACGCTCCTCACTCCATTTTACGCAGAGAAACAAACAACGTGTCCATTAATCGCCTCTTGCTCGCAAAGCTTCTCTGCGATTGTTCAAGTTACAAAAACATTTAAATAATTGAGACGTATTGAGTGTTAATATAATTTCCCCTCTTTTTAATCAATGTTCCACGGGGACGTTGCGCTTTTATTCCGCAATAATAGTAGTGGATTTAGACGTTATTCAAAAAGTAAAGACTGGCCATTTGTTTGAATGTGATACTTAACACAACTGCAGGGCAATCATTTCAGATGCATCATATTTCATTCGGGCTGGCCTTGCACATTCTCTGTATTTTCTAAATCTGTGGGTGGATCTTTTTTCAAGAATTAGAAACGCAACATTTCCAAGCTGCAGTCAGCTTAAGGACTCGCGACTGTTGAATAAATTCGGGGATTTTTAGGACTGTCATTTGACATGAAAGCAGAAGTCACCTGGCTCACTTGTCTAAACACATCCTGCACTCTGTCCAAGTCCAATGTCTCCCGTGTTGCAACAGCAATGTTGCTGCTGGAACTCTTTTCTTTCTTTCTTTCTTTTTTCTCTTTTCATCAGAGAAATTCAATGCGATTAGAGACCTTTACTTTATTAGTTGTTGTTTATGGAGTGGAAGAGACGTGTGTTAGATGAGTCCATCTTAAGTTTTGTCTAAACCGAATGCGACAAACGGAAGTGACTGACGTTCTGACAGGAGCTTTACTTCTGACTGTCCTCTTAATCTAACGGTAGGATTCATCTAAGCTCTGGTGCCAGCAATTAGGATCAAAGAAAAGTCAGGTGAAAAAGATGGAAAGGAGGAAAGGAAAGTGCATTATATCATATTGCTTTAGTGTTTTTTTTCTTCTCTATTTTCACCTTAAATGTGCACATTGGTTATTGATTAAACTTTTGGTTCTACTTTGATGCTATTTTAAAAGAATCTCCTAATTTAACAGCAGATGTTTACCACTGGGGATTGTATCACAGTTGCAACGCACAATGATGTGAAATGAAAGTGTTTTTTTTTCCTGTAGGTTCGATTCCAACCGCTTTACGCTATCGGAACGAATTCTTGAAATTACCACCGATTCCATCTCACTATAAGATGATTTCCCAGACGTAATTCATCAGAAATGCCGTTATAAATAATAGGGATGTGTTGTCAGTTGCAGATACGGCGAGTAAACCCCGTCGATTATTCCATGCAAACTTCTGAAGAGGCAGCACAAGTCTCTCTGAACACAGATATTTAAAACTCTATTTGCTTTATAATGCGGGTGAGTGTCTATAGAGCCCCTGTACGTCTTGGCATGTGCGCATGCATGACTGATACTTTCCTTCTCTCAGATATTTCGCAAGAGAATGTCTTGGCTCTTTACACGGATAAACACTTCTGTTGACGTTGATCTGAAACGTCGAACAGCAAAAAGCCCCTCTGTCTCTCCTGACCGTGTCACTTAGACCGCCGAACTGAGACCTTACACATCGTCCTATACTTTCCACACATATGTTGTGATATTGTGTTCCGAGTGACAGGAAGCTGCTGGGAGGGAGGGGACGGGGGAGGGGGGTGAGGGGGTGGGGGTGCTAGTCTCCCTCTCTACGTACTAGTGGATGGAGCGGTTGAGACCCTGACGATAAACAAGTTCAGAGAGTGTAAACAACAGCAGGGCTGGTAAAGGTAGAGGAGGGGGGCAACAGAAGGGTGGAGGACTGCAGGAGATAATAAATGTGGCAGCACATGTTGTGACATCTGTCTTTCTAAGTGTTATCTAATTTACCGCAGAATATTCCTACAATGATCAAAACGGATGGGAACATGCCATAGTGTTTTTGTTGTTGTAATTCAACGAGAAGTTTCTGACAAGTTAGTAACATGTCACATCTGTCATGATGCTCCATTTATCTTGGGGTTGTGGCTCGTCTCATAGTCACTTGTGGGAGAAGAGAAATGGGGATGCCAGTAGTGACCGACTGGGTCATCAGGAGCAGATAGTGGAACATCACCTCCACAAACTCCCCATCTTACAGAAAAAGCATTTTTTTTATTTTCTAGGTACGTCAAAGATTAAACCTGATTGTATTTTTTTTTTAGAGAAACAAATGACACCTACTGTGTGTGCAGCAGCACTTACTGAACATGGAAAAGGGCAGGGGAAGATTGCACGGCTCTGTTAGATCTCTGTGTCCCTCCGGCTGCTGAAGGTGAACAGTATTGCTGTCATTAAAGTGTTACAGATGAAAAAAAAAATCTAAATATGTGTATCTTCACAGGAACTGCATAATTGCACAAGTAATCTAAGTGGCCCATTTTGATCTGTATCATTCACTCTCCTACCAAAAAATGTTTTTCTCAAAATAATTGGACATTTTCTTTAGGTCCATAGCATAGATGTGCATAATTAACTTTGATTTCCAATGCAACAGTCCAGGCTATGGTAAGTAGCGTCTGTTGATTTTTACTTTTTTTTTTTTTTAATTCTACATTAATATGTAGAATTAATTGGCGGCGTCTTGGTGGCCGCGTGTTAGTGACACAGGTCTGCAACTGTAATCAGGTGGAGGAATTAGTCGGGCTCATTGTTTTTTATGAATCAGATGAAGATCTGTACAGTGGCTGTGTGAATATGGTAGCCTTTATTTCCATATCAAAGGCACACAGTGCAGCCGGGCAGTAATTAAAATGTGGTGGATTTTAGCGCGCGCACACACACCCGCACACACACACACACACACACACACACACACACACACACACACACACACACACACACACACACACACACACACACACACACACACACACACACACACACACGCACGCACAGATTTTCTCTCTCCCTCAGACATGCATAGGGACAGAAGCGTAAGTGGGAACACACAGACGCACACACACAGACACAAAGCAGCATGGACCAAGGCTGAGAGCTGTCAGGTTGTGTGAAAAGAGTGCAGGTTGTTGAAACTGAATGTTAAACAAATACTCATGTTGGTTTTGTGGCAACCATTTGCTAGCTACAGTTAGAGGGAGCTGTGCATTAATTATTCTTATTTTTGTAAACCGCTTGCACTAATTGCAGTTATACTAACCTCTGAGAAGTCTCGAAGACATGATGCT